TGCCTCCACACCATAAAGACCTGTCAAAGGGGAGAGGTTTGTCTATGTGTCTGTATGTTTAATGGAAGCTAAACTACAAATACTGTGACTTGATCATGAAATCTAAAATTTGATCTCTCACTCTCAGTAAAATGTCTTCCCTTCCCTATGAGTATTTACAAAAGACTTTCAGTGCAACATACCATGTAGTAGGAGTCTGGGCCACTGCCAAGCAGTGAATCTCCTGTGTGGATCCAGCTAACTCAGTCATAACAAAGCTTCCTTCACCAAGCACAGGAGATGTTGGCGTAACGTCTGAACTGCACAGGAAAAGACGGCCATTGCAAAGAGCAACTGCAACTCTTCCTAGTGCATGCAAGCTGCAGAGTGAGCGAACAGGAGACGACTGGGGTGCATCGGGCTCGAGGCAATAGCTGAAGACTCTTCCATAGTCACGGGTGCTGTGGAAAGGTCAAGCAAATACAATTACAAATCTCCTATACTTCCAACTGATTATGTAGAAACAGTAAACAAAGAGATTACATCAGATATAATTTTTCTTCTTTTTTCAACATTATAAATCCTTCAGGAACATACCCTAACCATCAAAACCATAATCCTCACCTATAGCCATGGATATTTCCCGCGCTGTCTCCAAGCCACACGTAATCCCCAACACAGCACATCGCGGTGATGGTGTCGGGAAGCCCCTCTATGCTGGTGTAGGCGCCCCAGCCCCACTCACCTGCGCCCACCATGTCCAGTTGCGGTGAAGTACGGCTCACCCAGATGCTGCCTTGGTCACGCACAACTAATTCCCCGTCTGAGGCAGAAAGCATGAATATTAGCCTTTCCTTATAAATACTGTTCAACATTTATTTCATTCATAATTGGTAATTATCTTTACTTTATGACCTGCTCAAGTTCATCATCAAAATGAGCTATTCCAGACAACATAAGCTTCTCACCAACATTAAGCCTTTCCCTTCATCCCAATAACACCACCAGAAAAAATACAAACAATGACCGAAAAGCCCTTACCTTCATCCTTTACCAACACGGGCGGTACCCTTATCGCATCCATGATATTAAGGGAGTGATCGAGTGAGGCCACGTCCAGGAGGTGGGTGAACTCTGGTGCCGAGGCGATGGACACAATCTGGGACGCAGAGGGTCGTAGCCTCGGCTGCTGCGACCAGCACATCACCATCAGGTCAAGCACGTATACGGGGTATTCTGTCTCCTGTGTGGGTCAGGCAGAGAAGGGGGGGGATAAATAACAGTGTGCTATTAGATAATGTGGAATGATGAGGAAAGAAAGAACGACATGAAAACACAGATAAAATAAACAAAGGAATAAGAAAGGTAAAGCCAGATAGAAAATAAAAAGGAAAACAAGCTTCAATTCTGAAATATACATAACAGTATAATCAGAATCTACAACAACAAGAGTAACAGAGAAGAAAATCATCAAATAAAACCAAACTGTCTGCCTACCCTGTGCGTAAGAGCTGGCCGCCCTCCCTCCAGCACATGCTCCTTCACATTATCACAGTGCTCATATGGTTGGTGGGTTGTCAGCAGCTCATACATGAACATGCCGAAAGAGAAGCAGTCCACCTGTAATAAAGGAAAGGAAAGGTATCATTTGTGTTAGTTATCAGAACTCCCACTCATACACACACACAAATATCTTACATATATAATAATATTAAATTTTTAAAAATATATACATACATACATACATACACACAAATATATATATATATATATATATATATATGTGTGTGTGTGTGTGTGTGTGTGTGTGTATGTGTGTGTGTGTGTGTTTGTGTGTGTGTGTGTGTGTATACATATACATGTTGAAATTCACTTTCATCAAGAATACACAAAACAAAATAATAAAAGAAACAAAGAAAAAGATATACGGGTCAAATAAAATCCCAACTGAACCACCGAGACTCAGAATCCTCTTTTCCGAACGAGCTCACCTTTTCCGTGTATTCTTCCTCTCCGTTGTGTCTCATCATCTCTGGGGCCATGAATCCTTCCGTGCCTCCAAAGCCCTTCGTTCCGGTGGGCAGACTCGATCTGCTAATACCTGGGAGGAAACAGAATACGTACATAAGAATTAAGATGAAAGTTGAAGTAAAAATACTCCTTATCCACTGAATATTAACCATGATCTTACACTTCTCTCTCTCCCAAATAAAATACAACTAAAAGGAAACTTACCATAGTCAGCAAGTCGGACATCTACTTTAGGCTGCGGCTGGTGGTGGAAGGGGGGAGGAAGCTCCCACACGAGAACGTTTTCGCTCTTGAGATCTCGATAGATGATGTGTTGGCCGTGCAGGTACTCCAGGGCTTTGGCAACCTACGTGGGAGAGAATTTTGCAATGTGCATCTTTAAGGATAAAATACTATTTCAAATGTTCACTATTCTAAGAAATCCTAATTTTTGTGTTATACTAAACCATACCATAAAAAAAATATACATATATATATATATAATTTTTTTTAGCAATATGTATACTTCTATACATGCACATTAAAAAAAAAAAAAAAAAAAAAAAAAAAAAAAAAAAAAAAAATACAACAAACCTGCAACACAACAGCTTGCAATGTATGGAGGGAAAGTCTGGCTCCTGATCTCTGGTAATGCTTAAGACACTGGTCGAGAGCTCCTTGGGGTGCCAACTCTAGGACAAGGGCGAGGGGTCGTGGACATACGCCCACCAAGGGAACAATGTGAGGATGGCGCAGAGAGAGGAGAATGTTCACCTCTTGTCTTGCTGAGCAATAAGCCTTGCATGCGTACTGCAGGGGGTCTCGTTCCCACTTGCTCTGAGCAGCCTGTTACGGGGAAACAAATATATGGCTTATTAGACTTTTGTGATATACTATTTACTTGTGGTGCATCTGTAACTGGTCCTGGCAATCATTAAAAAACAAAACTCATCTCATCAAAAATTTCTTGCAAATATTTCAAAACAAGAACATTAAATGAAATATTCTTGCATTATATTCAATGCAACAATGGCACTCAATCTCACACTAATTCTGAGGAATAATATCAACAATTCCTCAAAAGTGTGAATCCATTCATAAATCCTCCCACCACTAAACTGACACTTAGAGCTACCTTATAAGCAACAATGGCACTCTGTCTGGCACTGGTTCCAGGGTCAACAGGCTGCAGCATCTTGAGGGCTACATCCATGGGAGCCCCACTGGCTCTGTTGCGACACGCCCCTTGGAAGACGAAGCCAAAGCCTCCGCGGCCCAGCAGTTTGCCCTGCTTGATCAGCTCTGGACGAACAAGGTACCTGTCACCTAAGTCTAGGAAAACCTGTAAAGAAACACAAAATAATACATTAAGTGTATTTAGTACCTGGTAATCTGTAAGACAAAAGTAATAAAATTGAGAATGATAATTACAGACCAGAAGATATTAGAAATTATGAAGCTATTGTATCCAAACTGAAAACTACAGGCTACCCGCCCCCCCAAAAAAATATATATATATAATAATAATAATAATTGAATTAAAGAAAGACAGAAAAACATCACTCACTGTGTCGGGCGCAATCTGAGCCAAAAGGAGATCCGCATGGAGAGGACACGGCACAGAGCGAGCAGTGTAAGCAGCTAGAATGCATTCCTCCACCATGAAGGAATAGACGACTGGTGTCACCTCTTGGCCGCCTGATGTCTCTCCTTCGTTGTTTCCGCTGTTGTCGAGGTCTGGTCTCCCTTCGGCTGATGGCTTGCGACTGTTTGGGGTAAGGGGTTATTGGGTCATGGGAACAGAAAGATATTTCTCAGAATGAATGAGTTCATTTCATATCCATTTAGTCAAGATGATATTTGAATGATAAGCTACTACTTCTTTATCTAATTAGAATGTTTATTATCCTTACAGCATATTTCATTCTATGAAGATATGCTTTCAACAGTCTAGCAAATACCATCTATTTTGGTCCTTTGATTTTACAATATATTTCAACAGATTAGTACAAAATGTACAGTACACAAGAGGAAAAAAACTGACCAATTAAAAATATATAAATGCTGACTACGACACTTGCAGTTCATGACAAAATATCTGGAAAATATGAAAACCAACTATTCCTTCTCAAAAGTAATTTAGAACGTGGGATATATCATAAAACCCTATACATGCTTTTTATATATTCTAAATGTGTCAGCATTCCATAGGTGAAAAAAAATTCTAAAAGCTAATCATGACATACCAATCATGTGACAACCAATACGACATAATGGTTATGAAATAAGTGACAATTTTTCATTCATCAAACTGTTGCATTATCTCTTTAGCTCTATATTTAAAAGGCAAAACTACAATTATGTGAAAATACAACTAGTTTATGCAAGCAGACACTACAGTATAAAAAAAAACTGTCTAATACAGTAAGGCACAAAGAAAATTTGGTGTCTAATTAGGATGCTGTAAAAATCATGCTAACCTTGAAAATATTGGTCCTTGCAGGCTATGAAAATACATCACAATTTAATTTCTATCACAACACATTGAATAAAAACTTGAAAAGAACAAAAGTGTTCTGTTATATCACTCATTATATGCAGCATCTATCATCATGCATACCAACAATGAAAGAAAATAAATAAATAAATAAAAATAAATAAATAAATATAAATATATACATATAAATAAAAATAAAATGCAAAGAAATACCTAAGAAAGAAATTCTCAACAAACTCAAGGCAGTTTATTTTGAATCTATTCATCATAAAGCGCTAAGATGCACACGATTCCATTTTGAGACAATCAAAATCTCCGCACAATAAACCCCAAGCACTCAAGACTAACTAAGTGAGGAGAGAAAGAGGAAACAGAAAAGATATAAAACAACCTCGTCTCCAATGAACCCCAAGGCACCCAACTAAGAAAAACCAAGAGAATGGGAAACAAGAAAAGAGTAATAAAAAACGAAAAGACAACGATAAGCCCTTCCTCCCCACAGCCCCAAGACATACCTTGAGGTAGTAGATTCAGCTCCAACGCCACTATCCCCGTCGGAAGTGTATGACTCCCGAGACCCCCAGCTGCGTCTGGGAAGCTGTGGCGACATGTTCCCCCCGATAGCCGCTCCGCCTGGTGACACTCCCCCTCCCACGGTTCCTCCTCCTCCACCTGCAGCTGTGGAGGATGTGGAGGATCTTCCACCTGGCTGCGGGGATGGGACACCTACAAGTGGATGACCCTGGAACACACAAGCGGGGACTCTGAAAATCTGGCATTGATGGTTTTTATAGATGTTTTATTTTACAGGGTTTGTAAACATATAGTAAACAACCTAATACACCATGAATTAATTTTCTTTTCTCTCACTTACAATTCCTTTTTTTGGGGGGATATATATCAACAAGTTCCTTCTCCTAACTCAACTATATTCCCAGGGTATTGGAAATCATGAGAAATTTCCTCACCCTAAACATTTCTAGTCTTTTTCACACCAATGACACGCCCATTCAACAATGTGCTAGATTTTTTCAGGCATATTTAACATTCATACATTAATTTTTTTTCATTAACATTTTCATCCATTCCTTAATTCTTCAATTAATTTAATTATAAATAGGGTGGACACTCCCTTCATAATCAAAATGAATTATGACTTTAGTTGTAAGCAAGTCATGGAACCAAGACTCTGAATGAGCTGCAGTAAAAGCAAAAAATTTTACCATGTTCAATGTATAATTAATGGAAGGGAGCTTTATCTGTGATCAATAAAAATATGATAAAGATTCTTATATTTAGTCAATGCAACTGTAATACTTCTCTGATTGCCATTTCTCAGTATAATTGTTTTTCTATTTTAATTCTGGTGTTTACACATAACAGGGAGAAATAGAAAATATTCATTAATCATACAGCTACCTATGGAACAAAAAAAGAAGAATTGGGTTATTTATATGAAAGAAGTTTTATGATAAAGGTCACTTTAACTAACAGTCATGAGGAGAGATGAGGACACAGGGAGGAGAAAAGAATGATGAAAAAGGATATGAAAAACAAAGGAAGATGATGATGATGAAGAGGAGGAGGACAAAGAGCAGGAGGAGGAGGAAGGAGAAGAGAAGAAAAATAAAAAGAAGAAGAACTGGGAGGAGGAGAACAAAAAGAGTAGAACAAGTAGCGGGAGAAAAAAGGTAACAGCAAGCATGCTGGGTCTATGGCAGTTCCACACAACAACACAAAATCCAGTTTGCACAAGTGTTTACCTGTTGGGACGGAGCCAGACTTCCCATTAAACTATTAGTGAGAAGAGAGCGCTCCAGTGAGGCGTGGGAGGCATTGAGGTCCTGTAGTGTATCAGCAACAGTTCGTTAGTAATTGTATTGCAAGGGGGAGCTTTGTTATAAGACATGAAAACAGTTAGAAGTAAGAGGATTAGTTTAAGATCATAAGAGGCAAAAACACAGCAAGTAAGAGAAGCCAGAATGGGTATATTGTAAGTATTCTCAAAAATATATGAAATTACCAGTCATTAGAAAAAAATGATAAAATGGTAATAACACTGTCCTAATCCTACTTACCTATGAATATGTATAACATTATGAAAACATTATTCTGATAGCTAAATCAACATCTTGTCTAGATAAAAGGGTAATAAATAACCATGTTGATCCTGCATTATTATGAAATATAACAGTTACACATCACAGTAAGGATGTGATAATCACTATCATTATTACCGCTATTCCTTCTCTTGACTACTGTAAAGAAGATAAAGCAAAAACATCAGCCTAAACAATGCAGTCTTACCTGTGATATCTGTGAGGCTGTCATGGAGCAGTAGAGAGGGTTCATCTCCACAAACGAACCCCAGTTATCAGGCAGGTGCCGTGCCTGTGGGTGGTTTCCAGGGCCCTCATGCTGCCCGTGGCATTCCAGGCAAACAGGGCATGGAACCAAGCGCGTCACCAAGAACTTGCCCTCGCTCGTATGCACAAACCTCGTGCCTAGGGTTGGGTACCTGGTTTGGGAGTACAAAAATAGGTATTTGGTTTTTGTATTGCGAAGGAGAAAGGGAAGCAATATATGACTGGTACAATCAAAAGCAAAATAAAAGGACAGGAAAGAGATGAAAAATGGAAGAAAAGAGAACGATAAAAGGTAAAAGGGAGAAAAACAGAAAACAAGAGAATGGCAGATAGAGAAAAAGAAGAAGAAGAAAAAAAAAAAAAGACAGCAGAAAAAAGAAGAAGAAAAAGAAAAAAGAAGACAGCAGAAAAAAGAAGAAGAAAAAAAAAAAAAAAGACAGCAGAAAAAAGAAGAAGAAAAAGAAAAAGAAGAAGAAGAAAAAAAAAAAAAAAAAAAGACAGCAGAAAAAAGAAGAAGAAGAAAAAAAAAAAAAAAAAAAAGACAGCAGAAAAAAGAAGAAGAAAAAGAAAAAGAAGAAGAAGAAAAAAAAAAAAAAAGACAGCAGAAAAAAGAAGAAGAAAAAGAAAAAGAAGAAGAAGAAAAAAAAAAAAAAAGACAGCAGAAAAAAGAAGAAGAAAAAGAAAAAGAAGAAGAAGAAAAAAAAAAAAAAAAGACAGCAGAAAAAAGAAGAAGAAAAAGAAAAAGAAGAAGAAGAAAAAAAAAAAAAAAGACAGCAGAAAAAAGAAGAAGAAGAAAAAAAAAAAAAAAAGACAGCAGAAAAAAGAAGAAGAAAAAGAAAAAGAAGAAGAAGAAAAAAAAAAAAAAAGACAGCAGAAAAAAGAAGAAGAAAAAGAAAAAGAAGAAGAAGAAAAAAAAAAAAAAAAAAAGACAGCAGAAAAAAGAAGAAGAAAAAGAAAAAGAAGAAGAAGAAAAAAAAAAAAAAAAAAAAAAAAAGACAGCAGAAAAAAGAAGAAGAAAAAGAAAAAGAAGAAGAAGAAAAAAAAAAAAAAAAAAAAAAGACAGCAGAAAAAAGAAGAAGAAAAAAAAAAAAAAAAAAAAGACAGCAGAAAAAAGAAGAAGAAAAAAAAAAAAAAAAAAAAGACAGCAGAAAAAAGAAGAAGAAAAAGAAAAAGAAGAAGAAGAAAAAAAAAAAAAAAAAAAAAAAAAAAAAAAAAAAAAAAAAAAAAAAAAAAAAAAAAAAAAAAAAAAAAAAAAAAAAAAAAAAAAAAAAAAAAAAAAAAAAAAAAAAAAAAAAAAAAAAAAAAAAAAAAAAAAAAAAAAAAAAAAAAAAAAAAAAAAAAAAAAAAAAAAAAAAAAAAAAAAAAAAAAAAAAAAAAAAAAAAAAAAAAAAAAAAAAAAAAAAAAAAAAAAAAAAAAAAAAAAAAAAAAAAAAAAAAAAAAAAAAAAAAAAAAAAAAAAAAAAAAAAAAAAAAAAAAAAAAAAAAAAAAAAAAAAAAAAAAAAAAAAAAAAAAAAAAAAAAAAAAAAAAAAAAAAAAAAAAAAAAAAAAAAAAAAAAAAAAAAAAAAAAAAAAAAAAAAAAAAAAAAAAAAAAAAAAAAAAAAAAAAAAAAAAAAAAAAAAAAAAAAAAAAAAAAAAAAAAAAAAAAAAAAAAAAAAAAAAAAAAAAAAAAAAAAAAAAAAAAAAAAAAAAAAAAAAAAAAAAAAAAAAAAAAAAAAAAAAAAAAAAAAAAAAAAAAAAAAAAAAAAAAAAAAAAAAAAAAAAAAAAAAAAAAAAAAAAAAAAAAAAAAAAAAAAAAAAAAAAAAAAAAAAAAAAAAAAAAAAAAAAAAAAAAAAAAAAAAAAAAAAAAAAAAAAAAAAAAAAAAAAAAAAAAAAAAAAAAAAAAAAAAAAAAAAAAAAAAAAAAAAAAAAAAAAAAAAAAAAAAAAAAAAAAAAAAAAAAAAAAAAAAAAAAAAAAAAAAAAAAAAAAAAAAAAAAAAAAAAAAAAAAAAAAAAAAAAAAAAAAAAAAAAAAAAAAAAAAAAAAAAAAAAAAAAAAAAAAAAAAAAAAAAAAAAAAAAAAAAAAAAAAAAAAAAAAAAAAAAAAAAAAAAAAAAAAAAAAAAAAAAAAAAAAAAAAAAAAAAAAAAAAAAAAAAAAAAAAAAAAAAAAAAAAAAAAAAAAAAAAAAAAAAAAAAAAAAAAAAAAAAAAAAAAAAAAAAAAAAAAAAAAAAAAAAAAAAAAAAAAAAAAAAAAAAAAAAAAAAAAAAAAAAAAAAAAAAAAAAAAAAAAAAAAAAAAAAAAAAAAAAAAAAAAAAAAAAAAAAAAAAAAAAAAAAAAAAAAAAAAAAAAAAAAAAAAAAAAAAAAAAAAAAAAAAAAAAAAAAAAAAAAAAAAAAAAAAAAAAAAAAAAAAAAAAAAAAAAAAAAAAAAAAAAAAAAAAAAAAAAAAAAAAAAAAAAAAAAAAAAAAAAAAAAAAAAAAAAAAAAAAAAAAAAAAAAAAAAAAAAAAAAAAAAAAAAAAAAAAAAAAAAAAAAAAAAAAAAAAAAAAAAAAAAAAAAAAAAAAAAAAAAAAAAAAAAAAAAAAAAAAAAAAAAAAAAAAAAAAAAAAAAAAAAAAAAAAAAAAAAAAAAAAAAAAAAAAAAAAAAAAAAAAAAAAAAAAAAAAAAAAAAAAAAAAAAAAAAAAAAAAAAAAAAAAAAAAAAAAAAAAAAAAAAAAAAAAAAAAAAAAAAAAAAAAAAAAAAAAAAAAAAAAAAAAAAAAAAAAAAAAAAAAAAAAAAAAAAAAAAAAAAAAAAAAAAAAAAAAAAAAAAAAAAAAAAAAAAAAAAAAAAAAAAAAAAAAAAAAAAAAAAAAAAAAAAAAAAAAAAAAAAAAAAAAAAAAAAAAAAAAAAAAAAAAAAAAAAAATAAATCCTAGGAGTACCTCTCTGGGCATGACAAAGTAATTCCTAATAATGTCGACGACAGCATCGTCTGCCAAAATCCGGGTGATGAGTCGGGACCAGAAGCCTGACGGAAAGTAGGACATGAGCAGCAGCCTCCGGATGGCCGCGTGGGGGGCTGAGCGGTGTGTCACTTGCACTGCTGGGGGGTCTGCTGAGGGGGTTAGGCCCACCTCCTCCGACTCCTTCTTGGGGCTCCCTGGAAGCAGAGGTGAGCAGTCAGAAAAATCCACCTCAGTATGTTGAAATGCCAAAAACGTCTGCACATGAATAATTTTTGTAAAATGTACACTCATATGCACACATGTATGCACACCCACACCCACCAACCCACCCACCCACACGTACAGAACTGAAAAATAAATAAGTAAATAAATAACAATAATTCACAAAAGTACATAACCATTATCAAAAACGTGACCTCACCTATCGCTTCTGTGGTGAGGCCGTGGTATGAGAGAGGCCTGGCTGGCTTTCGCACATCGGCATTTGTCATGTAGAATGCAGAATTCCCGACAATGGTGGAGCCTGTTGAGCTGGAGAACTTTTTGCTGCGAACGGCCCAGCCTCTTGATCGCACTGGAATCTAAACATCAACAAGGGTAACTGAATAAATGAGATAATACTCCAAGAAACTCTAAGTCAGTTAAAATAAATCTAAATGAAGTTAACCAAATGTTAAACTGAATAAAATATATATAACTGAGAATCTCCTCCACTTGAGAACCACCCTAATACCTGGTTAATATATACAATTTGTAGCTAATATATACATATCTACACCCATTCACCCCTTATACTCGCACATGTATGTATCGCACTGGATAAGCTCTGGGATAATGTGCTGGAAAGGCAAGAAACATTTTCTCTAATCTCTATCAATTTCTGTCTTTATTTCAGCCTAAATAAACAGACCTTACTGATAAAAAGAATGTTGAAGGAAATATCAATTCCACATACCTAAACATTAATATTAATCTTAGAAAAAAAACAGGGGGAAAATCTGCCCAAGGGAAAGAAGGTTTAGCGATAAGAATTTTCAACTCTTTAAAAGGAAATAAAAGGCAAAAGGAAAATATACTTTACACAGGAATTCAAAGTATTGATAAAGTGTAGTACATTTCAATAAGCATCTCAGTGGAGCAGTTAAGAAAAATCAACAAGGAAAAGAGGATTAAAAGAGCAGATAGGAATTTAGAAGACTAATATGGGGGGAAAATACATAATTATTAACCATAAAAATCCTATCCCAACCTAATCATCATTAATAATAGCTGTTTATCAGGTTATATATATGCTACTAAAAAATTCATGTACACCACCTCATTGTAAATGCTAATGTAATTAATCTATTTCTTTAATATATTTAAAATCAATACATTCAATGCAACACTCCATAGTAGAAGCAGCTAAAATCATGTGAGTTGCATGTAAATATACTGTCTAATGTCTACAACCTGTACTCTAAATTCACTATTTGCATATAAAACCAAATAGGCATGAATTCTACCACCAAAAGTCAGTCCCATTATCATTCATTTGTAATCTAAACATTTTTCTACTCATCTCTTATGCTGGATATACTTTAAAAGATTACTTGGTTACTTTCATCTTGATTTGCTTGTGTTAAACTTCATTAATCAATTTATCATATAACAAGTTCAGATTCATCTAAGTCTAACTATATCCGTTAGTTTGTTATCATCTGGATTTGAAGCTGATGCTGTTAAATGCTATCAAATATAGTTAGGTGGATGTTCATGCAAATAAATTATTTGAGGACAAGCATACATCCACAACCTGAGCAGAGTCTACATCTAACCTACTGTTAGTTTCTTCAATACATACTGAACAAATTAGAAACTAAGTAACAGCCAACCAGAGGGTTAAATGATTAAATAACTTGTTTCTTTGTCTAGGTCTATTAATAGTAATGTAGCTCATGGAAAGCTATTTTTCCTTCTCCTTATCCATGCATTTGTATTACTAGATCCTCATGTAATCCTTCAAGAAACCCAAACCAACTATACTACAAGAATAGAAGAAAATCACAGAAAAGGCTTAAAGTGTACAGAGAGAATCATCAAAAGCAGGGTTAAAAAGAAAATGAAATATATTAAAGAATTTCTAAAAAAATATTAATCAAATAAAAGCCAAGAAGACACAAGCCTTGAAAAGCAAAAAAAACTCAAGTCAAAACAAAGAAAAGGAGTTTGGACTTTTTCCCCCTGGAACTGTGAGCACCTTTACCCTAACATCCATGCCCGGAAGCCCACTGCGCAGCTGCTCCTCCGAAGGCAACAGGGAAGGGATGAGCAGCGTCCTGTTGTCCCAGGTGAGCGCAACCTCAAACTTGTTCAGGAGGTTCACGATGTAGGACTTGGCATCCATGGGGGCGCAGGTGGAGGATTTGAATACGTGTTTCAGGTCATCTAACTTCATTATGCCTGATCAAAGACACAGAAAAAAAAAAAAAAAAAAAAAAAAATTTAATTATCAGCATTCATAATTCCTTTCTATCATTCATTAACACATGGTGTGCAAAACTCATAGCTCAGGCTGGAGAGCACTGGAGGCATACTATTCTTTTTTTTTTTTACCATGTGTTTATCTTTTAATTCTTTTTTTTTCTTCTTTTTCTTTTCACGTACACGCGCGCGCACACACAGACACAGACAGACAGACAGACAGACACAGACACAGACACACACACCACTGCATAGAATCGAA